AGGACACAGACACATTGGATTAACCTATGGATTAACTGCAGCATCGTTTTTTTATCGTTTTAATGCCATTGAAGACCAGTTTTGACCAAGGTAAGCCATGTTAGCGTTTCTAGCTACCTAGCTCCACATGTTATGATGTCTGTTTTTGTTTATAGATATATCTTATAGATATAGATATGGAAAAAAAACAATTTTCACCCAAATCACCTCAGAGGTGGGGTGGTTTTGGCTAAACCTCTCTAAAAAGGTCAAATGTCACTTGTTTTGCATCAATCTTGATACAGGGTACTTTTTACTTTTTACTTTTTACAATGTAAAATCTGAATTTTCTTTAAAATAAAAAACATTTATATTGATTCTGACACTTCTACATCCAACTCACAGATGTAACCTTGCTTTGATAAAAGAAATTATTCTTATAACCCTTTTAGAAGTTAAGTTGTAGTCATTTGTTTTGGGCATGTCATTTTCGAGCCTGAAACATGAAAAACAGGCTTGGTGCTTAACAGGTTAATGTTTAAATAAAGCCTTATTAGTTTGTCTGTTTTGCACATCCTCCTATTAATACCTTTGGACGTCCTGCACTAAACTGTTTTATTGTAGAGATCACTACAGTATCTTCTTGATATTATCTATTCTATATTTCTATCATTGACCTTCTACTTTCCCCCTATGAAAGTATATACTCTTACTATTTTTTTCATCAAATATAACATAATTTCAACAAAATATAACATAATTTCAACAAAATATAACATAATTTCAACAAAAAAATTCAATAACGTTTTTTAACCCCTAGGTGTCCCTTTCTATCAGCTGTGCACCGTTATGGTGTAAATATAACCTATCTACCAATTGGATCAAATATAAAAGTCAGCCGAATTAATGTTGATACTGCAAGGAGACGTATTTTGTGAAAATAAATGTAAGATGTTGTGTAATTGCTGATATATTTATGATTCACGTCACATATTCAGTTTCGGCAGCACTTCTTCCTGTTTGTCCAGAAGTCTTCTCATCAGGGCTCTATAAATAAAGAACCACGGCAGATGTGTAATATTTAACCTGTTTAGCCCTGAGCCTGTTTTTCAGGTCTCAGGCTCGAAAATGACATTCCCAGAACAAATGACCATATCTTCCCTTCTAAAAGGGTTAAATTAATAATATTTTTTCTCAAAGTAATGATAAACCTGTGAGTTGGATGTAGAAGAGTCAGAACAATATAGATGTTTTTTATTTTAAAGAAAATTCAGATTTTACATAGTAAAAAACTGTAAATTATAGTGTCCGTCCAAAAATTATTTTTTACTTATAGTGAAAACTACCCTTGGATGATGGTAAGGTAGACTAAAGCTTTAGGAATCCAAAGTACAACATATAATAAGTACCATGTATCAAGATTGATGCAAAACAAGTGACATTTGATATTTTTAGAGAGGTTTAGCAAAAAAACTTCACTTCTGAGGTGATTTGGGTGGAAATGGGGGTTTTACCGTTTCTCTGGAACCCATTGGTCGATTTTGGTGATTGACATCTCTTTCTGACCGTTAGAGCCAATAGAATCGAAGGGGATTCTCCCCACTCACTAACATGGTACAAAAAAAAGGTGGGGGCTTCGCACATGCAGTTTTGCATCAGAGCGAAACTATACTCTAGCTCTGACATCTGGAAACGGAAAAGCAGGTTTATTGCTCATGGATTATCAGAAATCATTTCAAAGGGAAACAGACACATTGGATTAACCTATGGATTAACTTCAGCAGCATTTTTATTGTTTTAATGCCATTGAAGACCACTTTTGACCAGACTACGACACAGGTAAACCATGTTAGCGTTTTTAGCTACCTAGCGCCACATGTTTTGATGTCTGTTTTTGTTTATAAAGTCGCGAGTTCGTATCATTGAGTGATAATGTATGTACCCATCGATTCTGTGTCACCTCACGATGTGAATCGATGTGATGGATGTGCAGAAAATATAAATAATAAGGTTTTGTGAGTGAATTTCAGTGCAGTAATCTGTTAGCATTCTTCGCTCGTTGCTAATTCAGAGGCTCAGTGTTAGCATTGTGGGTTTTATTTTGAAAAATAAATAAAAATGATCAGTTAGATGAGTTTCTTCCCGTTACATGGATATAAAACATTCATAGTTTATTAAATGAACATGCCCTCAGACACTGTTTCCTGCAAGATGTTGCAGGAGTGCCCCGGTCCGGGGTCTCTCGGGCTTAACAGGTTAATGCAGCCGAACCGTGTATTACAAGGCTGTTATGTGATGACTTCCAAAGAGAAAAGCAAGAACACTCGGAATAAAGTATTATTTTATTTTTTAAAATGTTTTCCGATTTCATGTCGCATAAACACCATATCCCAGCGTGCATTGCATTTTAGCCTATCAAAACCTCTGAAAGAATAAATGTGTCTCTCAGAATCGAAAGAGAAAAACCTATGGGAAAACACAAAAGCATTGTACACAATTTAAACCAATTAATGTCGTATAATTAACAAGGATAAACTGATGTTTTACTGCAGATATCACTGTTAAATCATTTGATCATTGGTTTTATTATCAAAACGTCGAGACCGGAAATACTGTTTTCAACCCGTAACTTTACATGGAAGCTACCGCATATACACGTTCTCCTGTCGAAACCTCAAATCATCTTCGTAATATCTATCAAACTATAGATCCTATATATCGACTGGACGTGGATTCTAAAAATACAATATACACTTCTCGCTAAAAATCTAATCAAAAAGCGTTTTAATGGCCAAACTATCCTACAATTTAGGATTTTACAGAGAGGGTTATTTATGAATAAACGACCATCTGTAACGTTTGCATTCAACGGGAGCACTAGAGGGCGAAAACTTTAAAACGTAATTATAGGTCATATTAAGCGCTTGAACAAACGACACATTTGGTTGTAATAAGGGTTTGAACAATCGGCCCATTTGGTCGTATGAGTTGGAGGACTTGTTGCCCTAGAAACATGAATACATATGTGATACTTCTAACTGCTAGATTGATAAATCACATTGTCAGTGTGATACACCTCTGACAACACGGAGGTTCCTCCCTGAACACTGACATTTTGAATATGCTTGGGTTGCTTCATATAACAAAGTGAATCAATTCTGGTGAATGTAGAGAACTTACCTGCCACAAACATCTGATGTAAGTTGGAGTTACTACGTCCTAACTTGTTCTGGGCTCCACAGGAATAACCCCCACTGTGTTCAGCTCTGAAGTCAGTGATGGTGAAGATCTGTCCTGAAGCTTTTGGAGAGTCTTCATCCTCCTTGTACCAGGTGTAGTTAGCTGCTGGGTTAGCATCACTGCTACAGGTCAGAGTCACTGAACTGCCCTCCTCTATCCCAGCAGAGGGACTCACTGACACAGAAGGGAGCTTTGGAAGATCTAGAGGAAATACAATACATCAACAAAAATGGGTAAAAATACATCATGTTGAATTGAAATGAAAAATAGTTATCTGTGTGGGAGCATCTGACTTTAGAAGTGTTTTTTGACAGGTATAGAGCTAAAGACAACAATTATGTTGTATATATATTTCATTTTCTGCATTACTTCATGGTTTGAATACACAACATACGTGCAGATTTGGGAGCCAATTATAAATAAAACTCCATTTTCATCCTCTACTGTAGCTGCTCTCCGTCTCATTGGCGGCAGACTGTGAACAAAGTTATCATTTTTGCATGATGCTTTTCAAGTTAGCTTGGTTTTACTCACATTTCACATCAATAAAGATGGATTCCGATCTTGTTATCTCCAGCAGATTCTCAGCTCTGCAGTAATACTGTTCAGAGTCAGAGGACTGGATGGAGCTGAGGACAAGACGTGGTCCTTCATTGACAGAAGAAAGGTCTGCATTTCCATTCATCTTGTACCAGGTGTAGTTAGCTGCTGGGTTAGCATCACTGCTACAGGTCAGAGTCACTGAACTGCCCTCCTCTATCTCAGCAGAGGGACTCACTGAGACAGAGGGGAGCTTTGGAGCATCTGGAGGAGATGTGTTTAAAGTTATTAACATTAAAGGGTAGATATAATGGCATCTTGCAAATGTCCAGATGCACAAAGCAGGAAAACGTTTTTCACAAACACAATGCCAAACATTTTTAAGCTTGGAGCATCTGGAGGAGATAACATGAACACATTTCACATTTAATTCCACGGTGGAAGATATTTTTATGAATAATAGTTTAATAAAACACAGAGTGGGTGGTTAACTTGATTCCATCCTTTATCAGAAATCTAAAAACTTTGAGGGAAAGTGTTAATCTTTATGTCATGGAAGAAGTTTCCTTCATAATTCTCGTTTATTCTTCTTTCTAGTAGCATCCCTCGTAGAAAGATTATATTTATCTATTTTAAAATCAAACAGAAAACCGAGAGCCCTGGTTCAGTGTCTTTGGACACTGCCATGTCTGCTGGCGACCTCTGGTGGGTGAATAGATAAATGAGTGCAATGATGATATATGTTATACTGTATGTTTATGTTATTATGTTAGTGGAAGACTTTGAGTAAACTCACACACTGAAGGAGAGGGGAAGTCCTCATATCCCTTCAAAGCACAGGAATAATTGTCTGCTGACTCATATCTGAAGTATGCATAAGGAAATGTGTCTTCCTTTATTTTCTGTCCATTCTTGAACCAGATGTAGGAAGTATGACCAGGTGGACAACTGCTGAGACACTGAAGGCGAGTAGACGATCCTGGTTTGCTCACATGCACCTGGAGATCTGAATAAAGCTAGAATTAACAAAAATGTCATTATGTTCATACATAAATATAAATTAAAACATTCACACTATTTGCAAGAAGTTGAAATTAAGAAATTAATTGTTATAACTCAGTTATTGTTATAAACCCAGTGTAAATGTTACCTCTAACAGACAGAGTGGTTCCAGGATAACCCCAGTATGTAGCTTGGTTTGTTGTGATCCTGAACTTGAACATGTACTCAGCTGAGTCGCTCTCTGTCAGGTTTCTGATTCTCAGAGTGCAGGTGTTGTTTTCACAGAGATCCTCTACACGACCTGAATACTCTGAGACTGTGGTCAGATCTACAGGTTCAGGCTTACTCCATTTAGTGAACCAGAATGTTTTCTCTACTGTGTTAACACTGCCTCTCCATGTGGATGGGTATGTGAAGCTGCATCTTATCTCCACTGTTGATCCTTTCACTGCACATATCTTAGTAGAAGAATAAGTCACTCCCCAGCCATGCCCTCCCTGAACCACTGAAACACAGAGCACATCAGAAACTAGAATCAAAGTTAATCTATAAATTGTTGAGAAATTGCCTGATCAGTACTTTCAACAAAGAATGTAAAAATAAACATTTTACAAACTTTACTGGGATAGAGCAGAAAAACGCATGTGAATTCCTTCTTAGGCACTTTAAAACCAATGATACTCTTTGACTTTGTTGTTTCTTAATCAAACCAGGCAGAACATAAGTCTACACAAAAAGGGTATGTTCAGTTTGACACAAGATTGGAAAATGCCTTCATATAAATGAACAGTGAATGATTAGCGATCATATTAATTAGAAAAGTGTGTGATTCTCTGAACGGTTCCCTCTCTGTTCGCTCTGTGGTCAGGTGGCTGCTGACGTAAGTGTGACAAATACAAATAAATGCAGAACACTGAGGTGTGAGCAGCTTCCGTCTGATATACAGATAATAAAAAGAAGAACACTGCTCACTTATTCCCACATGTGACCTGATTTTACAAGTCCCACATTTTCCCAGAATCCCCTCTGTTCATGTGATGAATGTAAGTGTAGATGTACAGTACCTGACACAGAGAGCAGGAAGACGACTAATCCACTCGCTGCTGCAGTTAGACTCATAGCTGCTCCTCTCATCTCTGTGAGACTATAAAACATGTCAGATTAAATAATGTTCACAGGAGGTATACAGAATCATTACATCAATAAATGGTTTCTACTTACAGTGAAGGAGGTACGATGTGTTCAAAGATGCCTCTCCTCTGTAGCAATAAGCGGAAGACGGATATCAGGCTGTTAAAAGACTAGATTTCCTTCCTCTTTAGATTATTAATATGCTTGATGAGCCAAATGCCAGTAACACCCATCACACAGTTATGTTTTGTTGTCAAAAAATAAACCTTTCTTAAACAAAATAATCTATGGCTTTAACTTGTTTGGCTGCCGATATACCACTGACACCAGAAAATAAAATTATAATTAAGAAGAGAATAACAGTTACACAGGTTAATGCATTCCTGTTCCTTCACTAAGTGTAGTGAAGGAACAGGAATGCATTAACCTGTGTAACCACGAGCCAGTTTTACTGAACAGGATGAAGGGCACAGTATTAATTATCAGAGAAAATGGAAAATGCCATATATTTTCTCTTGGTTTGTTTCTTCTCTGTTCTCTCTGCGGTCAGGTTGCTTCTGTTTCAGAGAAATGCAGAACACTGAGATGTGAGAAACTCACATGCCTGTTAGTGTGAACCCAACATGAACACACACATCACACACATAATCAAGTGGACTGGAAGGAAGCAATTAAATATCTACAGGAAACAGAGATGGTCACATAATTAATGTAAATATTAACAGTAAGCCATGGTATCTTTCCAACTTTACCAAACCTCCATTCTTACCTCAATCTGGACATACCGGCTATAACTTGATCATCATTTCTGAACTACAGCCCATAATTCGGATGTGGCTGAGAGGAAGAGCTGTTGTCTTTGAGTCAGAAGAAGCCAAGTTATCGTGTTGATTTAACCTAGTGGGTATTATGCTGCTTGTTAAATGTGTGCGTTATCTCACTGCTACAGTGGAGAAGAGCTTCAAAATCAGAAATCTCAAACCTGTTAGAAATCCCATCCATTACACTCCTGTTACTGAGTTTTAGGTAGAAGCAAAACCTTTAATAGCAACACCATTTTTGACGCTAATAAACATTTATATCTGGCTCTTGGGGGCTCTGAAGAGAAGTGTACTTCTTGCGCCAAATCCATCAATAAAAGTCAATCAAAGTTTATTTATTCATCCCAATATGACAAATTGTAGTTTTGTCTCAGGGGGCTTTAAGGTTAATACAGAACATGAATATGCTGGAAATTCCCGGTGCTGTAAGCTTTTAAAATACTCATTGAAGAGAGAAGTGTTTCTCCTTGCACTGTGTACAACTTGACACAAAGCTTCCAAATAAAAGGGGGACTGTTCAGAGGAAGTGAAATTTAATAAGATAGCAGCTCAAAGATATTGTTAAAGACACTTGTTGAAACCTTCAGAACATTTGAAAGTAAGTTTGTTATAAAGGTTGTCGTATCCACAGAATACAAGGCGACCAAGCAGAACAACATCGTGTGAAACACAGAGACAGAAATTAATTAATCTCTAAATGTAAGTGAAAATAAATGTAAAAAATACATTAAATATATATAATTTCAGTATTTATAATATTTTTAATTATTCCTGTATTTATTTCCACATGTATTTATTTCTGTTTTTTCCCCCACATTTATTTATTCTTGTATTTTTGTATTCCTGTATTTATTCCTGATTCTTTTCCTGTATGTATGCATTTATTTATTTTATACTTATGTCATGTTCTGTCCTCAATACCTTTTTGCACGTTGTGTGCATAAAAGTACAAATTCACTCTAAATCACATCACAAAAATACCTATTTGGGCGTTCATTGTTTTAAAAACACACTGGTGGTCCAGAGGTTTATGCATTTGGGTTTTCATGCAGGTGTTTGAGGATCAACACCCAGGAGAGGAATATATTTTGTCTTCTGATATTCTGATGTTAAATCTGGAGACATAGTCTCCACCACTTTTTCTAATAAAGTGACCCCCATGATTCAAGATTAAATTCAAGATTCAAAGGTTTTATTGTCATATGCACATACTGTAAGCTTCAGTGTAGAGATGGCAATGACATTCTTCTGACCTGAGCTTCTCCAATAATGCAACAGATATAGCAAAATACAAAAATACAAAATAAAATAAAAAGTAGTGCAAAAAGTCTATATACATGTCAATAGATTGTGGAGAAAGCATGTTTTTTAAGAATGTCTGTTCTGGTGGAAAGACTTTATAAAAGTGTGAGAAACTGTAAAATCCAGAGGGAGACAGTGATGCAACACTGTGGAAGCAAACAGCTGTAAAACACCAAAGAAGAAGCAGAGGAAGTGCTTTTATTTTGAAAGGAGTCTGTGTTCCCAGCGTGCATTGCGCTTACTCACACACATGGTGGATAAATGAATAGAAGAAGCTGTTAATGATTAAAAATCCGGAATAAACTTCTTATTAATTCATGATTTGAAGTACCAGGAATTCAACATGTCATTACCTTGAAGCAAACTCGGTTGAAGTCAGATAAATAAGTGAGTGTCACCTGAATAACTGCTGTGGGTTGAACATGATTCAGTAAAACATGCTAATGTCAACTGTAAACTAGAGAATGCAATTCCTGAAGAAATTGCTAGTGGGAATGCTTTATGCTGAAAAGCTGATGCTAAACTGCTATGCTGAAATGTAATGTGTAAGAATAAAGTGAAGAATTTAGATTGAAATGATACATGAACACTGGGGGCTTGAATATGTGATGAGAGAAGAAAAGAAAGTAAAAAGGCTTGGAAAAGCAGCAGAATATTTGAACTGCAAACTTTTGAACTAACTTGATGGCGAATGATCTGTCGCCATGCCAACGGCATTTGATGACATCCCATAATACGCTTAGATGCGTTGATGCCAAAACCTGTGAAGTTTTGGGCCATTTGGAGCATTTTCACTGAAGTTATGAGAAAACCGTGTTTCATGGCGAGCATTGTGTTGCCATGCCAACAGGATTTGAAGAAATCTCAAAACTGTCCCGTAGATGTCTTCACGGCTGGACTGTTTGCACACATGTGAAGTTTGAGCACTTTTTGAAAATGTTCATAGGAGTTACAGCGACATCGTCTTTTATTGCAAGGGATGCGTTGCCATGGCAACAGCCTTTGAGGAAAACTCACTAATGGCACATAGACATGTTAATAACTGGACCATTAACTGTCATCTTAAGTCTGGTGGTGTTTGGACCATTTGCATAGGTATCATGACAACATCGTGTTTTATGGCGAGGGATGCGTTTCCATGGAAACAGCCTATGGTGAGATCTCAGATTTGGCGTAGAGCTGTTGAGGCATGGACTGGTGATATACAAGCGAAGTTTGGGGGCAATCGGACCGTGCCCATAGGAGTTATAGCGACATCGTCTTTTATTGCAAGGGATGCGTTGCCATGGCAACAGCCTTTGAGGAAAACTCACTAATGGCACATAGACATGTTAATAACTGGACCATTAACCATTATCTGAAGTCTGGTGCTGTTTTAGACCATTTGCATAGGTATCACGACAACATCGTGTTTTAAGGCGAGGGATGTGTTTCCATGGAAACGGCACATGTTGAGATCTCAGTTTGGCGTAGAGCTGTTGAGGCATGGACCGGTGATATACAAGTGAAGATTCGGGGACGATTGGACCGTGTCCATTGGAGTTACAGCGACATCGTGTTTCATGGCGAGTGGTCTGTCGCCATGGCAACGGCATTTGATGACACCCCATAATACGCTTAGATGCGTTGATGGCTGCATCGTTACCAAACCTGTGAAGTTTTGGGCCGTTTGGAGCATTTTCACTGAAGTTATGAGAAAACCGTGTTTCATGGCGAGCATTGTGTTGCCATGGCAACGGCATTTGAAGAAACCCCATAATTGACGTAGAGCTGTTGAGGGCTGGACCGGTGATAGACAAGTGAAGTTTGGGGGACGATCGGACCGTGTCCATTGGACTTACAGCGACATCATGCTTCATGGCGAGTGGTCTGTCGCCATGGCAACGGCATTTGATGACACCCCATAATACGGTTAGATGCGTGTGTAGCCGGTCTAGTGATAAATGTCTATCCATCCATCCATCCATCCATCCATCCATCCATCTATCCATCCATCCATCCATTCATCCATCGTAGCTTCCATGATCATGAGAAACAGTGATCAACAGAGAACAGGCAGTTAATACAGCAGTGTTTCTCTAATGGGTCTATAAGTACTCCTAGGGGTACTGTGGAGTACTGCGGGGGGGGGGGGCACATGGGATTTTTACAAATATATACTGTATAAAGTAATGAAACTGTTCCAGTTAAACTTGAATAATAATGTAAATAAACACTATATTTATATTTTATACTCCTATTTTCAATGTAATTGTTAAATGCAGCAAATGGTCAATTGCTATTACATTCATAATCAGTGGCGGCTGATGGAATTGTTTCTAGCTAGGGCTGTGCCACATATATGTTTCAGCAAACATCCCAGTATGACTTAATGCAACAAAAATGTGTCTTAAATTTGAATGCATCCATAAACAATTTAAGCATTTGAGACTGAGGACTATGAACAAAGACTTAAAAACAATGTCATTAGCAATACTTGCACACATACATATATGTATGTAATATATATATATATATTACAGAACAACGGTATAATCATAGGCGGCGCCAGGGGTGTGCTATAGGGTACTGCAGCTCCCCCTAGGATAGCCATAGCACCCCCTAAGCAACCCCAAGAAATGTTTTTTTTTTACGTGTCCATCCATCTTCTCCCGCTTATCCGTGGTCGGGTCGCGGAGGTAGCAGTTCCAGCAGAGAGCCCCAAACTTTCCTTTCCCTGGCCACATCACGTGTGAAATTCATAATTTGAAAAATAATTCATTCGAAAATAATATGCTACAGTAAGTACTTCTGGGTCTCTGTGTTTCATTCAAGCTCGGCTCTGTGTGTGTGCGGCACGCACGCATTTAGTGTGATTGAGCGAGCGAGAGAGCGCACCGGTGCCAGGGATTGTTGTTGTTACTTAGCATCTGTTTAGCTAGCTGCACTAACGGATATAAGGAGCTGTTTCCACAACAATAGCCGCGTTCACACCAAGTACTTTCCTGTACTTA